TTTTTTAAGCACTTTACGTATAATCTTATCACGTGTGGAATAATATAATGTCGGATAGGTAGATTTTCTTATCTCAAATTAGATCGTAATCGCGGATCGGATTGTATTTTGGGAATAGTTTAACAATCGTGGCAATAGGAATATTAATTTCAAAGTTTTTGAGTGTTTTGTAAGCATAGAAATGTGATAATGATTAATTTCAAGTGAAATTATTTCTATTCTATTAAAAAAATTGACGATAAAGAGAAGAGAAGCAGAGATGAAGTGAAAGGCGATGTAAAAAATAAGTATAACAGTCAAATGAATATGAGGGCACGTTATGTTAACAGAAGTTAAGAAGGATTATAAGGTTTGCTCTCAACGAAATAAGAAACATGAAACACATTTTAATTGTGTTCATACTTGCCTTGAGAATGCATCTTTTAATTGCTTTATAAAATATCACGCAAAACAACAACATATATAAATTTTAACAACTCAACAAATTTTCTTTCTTTATACGTAAAAACATACGTAAAATATTAAAATATAAAAGTTTTAATTACGTATGTGAAATCATTTTGATTATATAAGAAATTCATCGAACATACAGAAAATCGTCTCGAGTTGTTCGTTCGGTCGAATTAAAACATACGAAGAAAGGAAGGAAGGAAGGAAGGAAAGAAACGTGGTTACAAAAACTTACTTTCTTATGATGTCGTCGAAGGATAACGACGACGAGTGACGAAATGAGTAGTATTGAGTACAGTATTGAGATCGGGGGGGGCAGGAGTTACACGTGTGTGATCGAGGCAACGAGGCAATAAACGACGATGGAGACTCGCGCGATACAGTTTCACGTTCGTAAAAAAGCAACGTTGGGCCGGGCAAGAGGAGTGCTCGGTTGGAGTGTTTTAAGTGGTTTGAACCGACAGGGCTGTTGATCGGGCACGTGACAATTACATCGAAGGAAGCGTCGCCAAGTGGAAACTCGTGTACGGCATTTCCTTTCGAACACGTGCTCCACGAAAATAAACTTACTTCACGCGTTTGCGTGTAACCACTTTGCAAAGCGTGTGCCGGGAATCTCTCTCTCTCTCTCTAATTTTCGTGGAATTAAAAGCCGCGCTCAAATTAATGCGCGCTCGCGCGTTGTGAAATTATTTTCATCGATTTGGAAAAGAAGCTATCACTGCTACTTACCAGTGGCTTAAAATATTTATACCGCGATAAGATTATCCTGAAGTGTGCTTATACACCGGTGATAAGGAAAGAAACTGTCAAGCGCACTGTGAAGCAACACGTGTTGGGGAAATTTTAAATTCACATCAGCTCTGTCTCTCTATCTCTCTTTCTCTCTCGTGCCGCCTTATAAAAGTGCTCACCCACAAACGGAAGTGGTTCACCATTTTCGCCATATGTTAGGTATCCTCCTCGAAATATCTCTCGACCAGACCTTTCCCAATCTTCGTGGTTTCCAATTGCTTGACATTGATCCGTTTCTCTTTGCCTTGATCACGCATATGCTCGCCTCCCTCGGGCTAAACCTACGTGTTTTATTTTCTCAGCTTTCGAGAGATCTTATTTTCGTTATGTAACGTTTCGTTAGAAATTAGTGTATATCTATTACGTTTTGAATTTTATAATATTATAATGAGATAAACAAATGAAAATAAAGAAGGTATTAATTATCGTAAAAAAAAAAAAAAAAAAATGAGCGCGAAAGCTTACAATTTTTTTACAATATTTTCGCCCTTGGAACGGAGTAGAGGTCGACGAAGACGCGATGCAGAAATCGAGAGAAGAGAAAAAAGAAAAAAAGAAAAAAAAAAAAAAAAAAAAAAAGAGTTTAATTATCGTAAAAAAAAAAAAAAAAATGAGCGCGAAAGCTTACAATTTTTTTACAATATTTGCGCCCTTGGAACGGAGTAGAGGTCGGCGAAGACGCGATGCAGAAATCGAGAGAAGAGAAAAAAGAAAAAAAGAAAAAAAAAAAAAAAGATCGACTAAGCGCGCGCAGTCGTCGAGTTATAAATAGAAATCATGATTTCCTTGGAAACATTCGTAACCCACGTGCCATACAGTAGTAAGTAAGATATTATGTTTGATACACGTGCACGTATCGGCACTCGGGACACAGCCATAAGGCGACAGAAGTTTTTCATATTTTTAACATATGGGCGGCAAGGAAACAGTTGTCGTGTATAAGGGAAGAATACAGGAAACGGTTTAAAAAGTAAAATCAAAATTCGGGAAGATAGATAGATAGATAGATAGAAAATTTTTCATACGTCTCCTTTATCCTTTTCGAGTTATTATCCATTATATAATAGGCTAAAAGTGCTCTCAAATATAAGGTTGGATCGAACTTAAGTTAAAGAGTGGAAACACTCGAGTTTCAAAGCCATATGGGTAATAGCACTTGGATTATTAAGAAGCTTCTCTGGAACGACTACCATATGTCAAATAATATATTTGTGCGTGCTTGTATCGTTTTCTTCGATTTTTCAATCCTCGGCCAACTTGCAAAATCACCGTTATCCAACCAAGATATGATCGATCATATTTGGAACATTCTTCCACTATCGTATGTTAAAGATCTTTTCGAAATTCGCAAGTTTTGGCAAAACAACAACGCGTTAACTTTCACGTTGCACGCAATTTAATTTTCAATTCA